GGAGGGCTCCATGCTGGAAAGTCTAATTATTTGTTTATGGGAATGTTCTGGCCTTCTTTTGAGAAGGTAGAAAATATCTTGAAAGCCAGAGTGGTGTAGTGGTTAGAACATTGGGGTATGACTCCTGAGACCAGGGTTCGTATCTTTGCTCAACTGTGGAAACTCACTGAGTGACCTTTTACAAATTACGTAGTCTCAGAGGAAAACAGTGCAAACTCCCTCTGAACAAATCTTGACTTTATTTTAGGGTTACCACAAGTCAGAAGCAATTTGATGTTACACAAGAGCAACATCACAAAATATTTTCTTTGTCAGTCCCCAGAAATATCTCATTTAGACATTAGGGACAGGCAGACTTCTTTTCCCCATGGACTTCCTCTTTTTTCAACTGTTTTCCTCCTTTTCCCACTTCCAAGTCGATTTCATGTCAATCTCATGCAAATTTTGTATTTATTCATTGTTAGATGCATTAATCAACATATCCTCTTACTGACTCAAGTTGAGCACCAAATAGAAATGTAGGCAGTATTTTCAGCACATACTCAAATAGTCCATGTTCAAATTGAATTCATCTTGTCAAATACTTTTTTCTTTCATGGAATGTGTTTTAAGCCCGGAATTGTACTGCCTTCTGACTTCAAATTGAATCAATTTCCTTGTTTGATCTGGCAGACACAGATTCTGTAAATACATTTAAACAAACAAACAAACAGCCGCAACACACTGAATATCTCGCACATCTCTATTAGATTTTGGTCAACTCAATACTTCATTTTAAGAAAATAATGGAATTTTCTTCTTTCAATATTTTTGAAACTTTGTTGATTTTAGTCTTGTTTTGGGACAAAAGCAATGGCTCAGTGATAACACTCCATATAGAAAATTCCAGACTTGTTGCCCAGCATCACATTTTTTTAAAAAAAATAATGAAAGTGTGAGAAAATGCTTTTTTTAAAAAAAAATCCACCCAAAATGTACTGCATTTCCTCAGACTACAGGTTTTGATATGCTTGGCAGGTTTGGGCTTTAAAATGGCTTAAAAGATTATGACAGTTTAATGAGTCAAGGCATCTGTAAATGCTTATCCTGTCCAAAGGACTTAAGGCAGCTCAGGCACTTAATGCTGTCTTAAGGTATAAAACTATAGATATTCCGTTTTTTCCAAACTCGTTCTGTCATTGTACATAGCCTTGTTTTCTTCCCTTTGAAATGTGCGAGCAGGAATCATGTGATTTGGCTACCCCAGGATTTTTTCTTGATGCTTTTTTGAAACAGTCCCTATATTTTTGTTTGACTATAAGACTTTATGGACTTTGGCGATCAGCGCTTGAATCCCTGCTCAGTCATGAAATCCACTGGGTGACCTTGGGCAACTCACACTCTCAGCCTCAGATGGAGGCATTGGCAAACCTCGTCTGAAATGAGATTTATCAAGGAAATCCTATGAAAGATTTGCCTTAGAGAAGTGGTTCTCAACTTGTTGGTCCCCAAGTGTTTTGGCTACAACGTCCAGAAATCTCAGCCAGTTTATTTCTGGGAGGTGAAGGCCAAAACATCAGGGGACCCACAGGTTGAGAACCACTGCCTTAGAGTCTCCATAATAAAAAATGACTTGAAGATGCATGACACAATTTCCCAGCTCTCTAGGTGTTCTCAAGGGACAACCTTCACAATCTTCATGACCAGGCTGCCATGACCTAATGGGAACAACACTTCAATAGTTAGTGGATTATATATTTCATAACTCTGAGCTAGGAATTTGATATAATAAAAGTGTTGCACTGAATGTTTCTCATTCTCTTTCATGACCTTCCATAGATCCTAGATCCAAAAGACATCCTATCTGTCAAAAACTGTGATCCCAAAATAGCTCAGATTATAGTCACACCAGGCTATCTATGATAAAATGCCAAAAATACATTGTTATACGAATCCTGAATACACATTGCTGATACCTGACTCTAGGCCGGGCAACCCAGATTCATCCTGGGAAGATCACTGAACTCTGCCAAAAGAGGAGTTTTCTGGCTTCGTTGGACAGAACAGAACAAATTTCAAAAGAAAGAGAGGTTAGAACTACAAAGGAGAAATGAATTATTGTGCTCTTTTATAGGCTTTGTTCATGAAATTTCCATTGACCTTTCTTGTGTATGTGTGTGGCGTAGTTAAGACCTCAATTTTCTACCTGCATGAAAACCACCTTGCTATTACGTTCAAAACTAAAGATGCAGACCTGTATCTTTGTCACTCTAGTAGACGATTGCTTTATCATCTCTGTTTGATGAAAAAGCTGGAAAGCTTTGAAAACTACTGTAATGATTTTTGCATCTTCTGGAAACCATCAATGTATATTTGGGGTTTGGAGTTTGTTTAGTGATTAAGTAACTATTTGTGCCACTTAGCATTTATGTAATGCTTCGATTTCACCATTCTCATATATTTAACAATAAAGATAGATATTTTTTCATAACTATAATGCAAAGGTATTGGCTGTGAAATATAATGTTGCCTAAAACCAACATGCGAGCCAGCATAGTGTAGTGATTTGAGCACTGGACAATGGCTTTGGAGACCAGTGTTCAGTTTCCTGCTCAGCCATGGAAACCTACTTTGTGATCTTGGGCAAGTAATATAGTCTCAGCATCAGAAAAGCCAGGGATAAGTTCAGTTTAGGATCAGAAATGACTTGCAGATACAAAACAATAAAGTCACTTTAGGTCAGGGATTCTCAACTTGTGGGTCCCCAGGTGTTTTGGCCTACAACTCCCAGAAATCCCAGCCAGTTTACCAGTTGTTAGGAGTTCTGGGAGTTGAAGGCCAAAACATCTGGGGAACCATAGGTCAAGAACCACTGTTTTACGTGAATTTGTACTGGAAATGCCCCAGACTTCACCTAGTCTTACAGTGCACTCTCATTTATATTTAATCAGAGATAAATTCCTTTGTGGTCAGTACAATCTCAGGCAATATTTTCAGAGTGTAGACATATCTCACTCCATATCTTAAAAGTTCAATATGGTTTTTCTCAGCTTTTTTTTCTAATTCATGCCATTTCTAAAATTTATAAACATATTCTTAGAAATTATGAATAATTTAATTCTTCTCTTTTTGTCCAGTCCTTAAATTTAACAGCTATTTTGTGACATGTGCTACAAGTTGCTCTACAATTCCTAGTGTTTGTGGGCAAACACTAGTCTGCTTTTATTCAATTTTATTGTAAATTTAGAAGATGTTCAGAGAACAAATCCCTCAGTTTCATAAGAACTACATATGGAAACTATGAAATATTTTATAAGTGGGCAAGATACATGCTTTTGCAATAATCTTAGAGGCCAGTTTAACCTACCGCTCATCTTTAAATGTTCTGAGTAGAGGAATAGACTGCTAACATGAGTGGCAAGTCATGTAAATGTGTAGAGGACAGTGGCAAAGATAGTCAGTGGTATATCATTATGCCTGGAGAAGAGTGAGTGAAGATGACAGAATTCCTTGAATATATGAAGAGTTCTCACTTGGAAGCAGGCAAATATTTGCCTTCTGCTAATCTTGAGGGCAGGACAAGATATAGTGGACTTAAATTATCAGTTAAAGTTTGAATGACACAAAGAGTCATCTGACTGTGTTGGAGAGATTCAAATAGAAGCAAGGTGGCCTATTTTGTGAATGCTATAGTTCTGCATTTTCTGAAGAAAGAAATTGGTCTAGATAGCCATAGGTTAAGTAAAGGTTTTCCCCAGACATTAAGTCCAGTTGTGTATGACTCTGCGGGTTGGTGCTCCATTTCTAAGCCGAAGAGTCGCTGTTGCCCATAGACACCTCCAAGGTCTTGTGGCTGGCATGACTGCATGGAGCACCGTTACCTTCCTGCCAGAGCGGTACCCATTAATCTACTCACATTTGCATGTTTTCAAACTGCTAGTTTGACAGAAGCTGGGGGTAACATTGGGAGTTTATGCCGTTCCCTGGATTCGAACCTGCGATCTTTCGGTCAGCAAGTTCAGCAGCTCAGCGCTTTAACCCACTGCACCACCAGAGGCTCCATCTAGATAGCCATATCTTCCAACATATCACATGTTAACACATGTTGTGAACCGGTACGAATCCCTCTTTGAAGGTGAGAGGGTCGGTATATAAAACCTCGAAATAAATAAATAAATAAATAAATATCTGTAGACGAAAATTAGGACCCCATCTACACTGACATATAAAATCCAGATTATTTGCTTTGAACAGGATTATATGACAGCCTAGGACACATGTACTACCTCATCATAAAGCCCTAGTGAAGCGTCCCACTTTGTCAGGCTTTTGGGGAGGAAGAAACAGAGATCAGCAGGGTGAATCTGTGGCCCCGAGCACAGCTCCCTCTTGGCTACACTTTTCCCATTGCCATATGGGGAGTTTCCGTGCTGGGTCCATTGGACACAGCACAATGCGGGAAGCCTTCTGTGTTGTTGGGCAAAGTGTTCAGCAACACTTTCACTCCAGTTGAGGGATGGCCTACGCTGGAAGTCACATGATTTTGTGTGATGTCTGGCATCAGCCTCCATCCCTCAAATGGGGTGAAAGCATCCTAGGATGCTAAAATCACCCTGTCTGAAGGGGTGGGCACTGCAGTCAAGCAACATCAGAATGCCTCTTTGTGTTGTGACATAATGCAGGCCTTGTAACCTATTTTATAGAGATAATATTTATGAATAGTAGCAGCAGATGGGCATATGACCATCAAACATCTGATCCACCTGGGTAACTCAAGTAATGACTCTTCATGAGGGTCTTATACTTGGTGAGTTCCACAACCATGAAGATTGATGACTTATTAGTACACATAGTATGAGATGAGTGTTTGAAAAAAAGTGTTTTTGTTTGAGATATACTCTAAAATCTGTGCACAAGAGTCACTGAAGCAGTTTTAAAACAGGCTGCCACGCTTTCATTCTCTACCACCCTAATAGCCTTTTGTACAGCTTTCTCCTGTTTCTGCTTTTTCTCCCCATCAGCAACAACAGCTGTTTTATGCTGTGCTGACACTGCATGCCTTTGAAGAGCAGAGCACTGCTTCGGAAATTGTACCGTTCTTAACAATGGGAAGTGGCCCTCCCTACTGAACTGGTATAGTGCGCAAGTTGTTTTATTTTTATCTCCATTGAAGTGCAGCCAAGGCAAGCCATGAAACCATTGAGTGTGGAAATGTGTCTCTGTGGCTGGTCTAATGCAAAGGTCTGATTGAGAACTGGAGGAGTTAGCTTGGCCTTGATCACTTCATTCATTACGTCTAATGATAGGAACTTCATTTATGTGGCATCTGCTTCAGCCTATGGAAGTAATAGCTCTGTTTTGCTAATGTTGCAACAGAGAGCTATCTCACTCCCAATCCTCCAGACCTTTCCAAGATGGATCACAAGCTCATCACTTCCACTCTGGTCCTATAATTATGCATAATTGTGACAGAGAATAGAGCGGCTTGCGGTGGCAGAGCTAAAGCAAACCTTGCAAAGAGAAAATGATGAATCCATCATGCTATGAATTATGTCAGTTTATCAGTTTTTTATGCTTGTGGGATTACTGGAAGGCTCCTCTTTGCCTGTGGCAAGATTGTACATACATGACTCATGTCTCCTTACATACCTGTTACTAGAATTCAATAGTTGTTACAAAAAGGATACATTTTGAGGTGCATTGAAAGGTCTGAATATGTCACTATGCAAAAAGGGGGATACTGGAAAAGCTAGCCTAAAAATAACTTAAGTACTCTACAATAGCAGCCAGAATGGGAGAACACTGGGCTCCCCATGAAAGGGTGGGCTGTAAATGCAATAATTGTAGTTACTAGTATAATAAAGCATTGTACTGTAGTCTAGCACAAGTACCTGGCTTCACATAGGTTGGACTAGATCTTATATGGTTGATTCTATGAGTAAGGTGCATTAGCTAGAATGTCATGATTTAGATGTAAGTTTGATATTCTGCAAAGACACAGAATGGGGGATGGCTGGCTCGACAGCAGTACATGTGAAAAAGTTCTTGGAGTCCTCCTGGACAAGTTAAACATGTGACAGCTAAAAGCCAACAGGATTTTGGCCTGCATAAATAGGAGTCTTATTTCTAGATCCAGGGAAGTCAAGCTATCCCTCTATTCTGCCTGGATCAGACTACACCTGGAATACTGTGTCCAATTCTGGGCACCACAATTGAAGGGAGATGTTGACAAGCTGGAGTGTGTCCAGAGGAGGGTGACTAAAATGATTAAGGGTCTGGAGAACAAGCCCCATGAAGAGTGACTTAAAGAGCTGGGCATGTTTACCCTGCAGAACAGAAGGCTGAGAGGAGACATGGTGGCCATGTATAAATACATGAGGGGAAGTAATAGGGGGATGGAATAAGTGTTTTCTGCTGCCCTGGAGACCAGGACGTGGAACAATGGCTTCAAACTACAGGGAAGGAGATTCCTCTTGAACATGAAGAAGAAACTTCCTAACTGTGAGTGCTGTACAGCAGTGGAACTCTCTGCCCCAGAGTGTGGTGGAGGCTTCTTCTTTGGAGGCTTTTAAACAGAGGCTGGATGGCCATCCAGCCTCATGTGATTTGGCAGGGGGTTGGACTGGATGGCCCACAAGGTCTCTTCCAACTGTATGATTCTATGATTCTATAGCTACGATGCAGATGATAATCAGTTGTAACCATGACTTATTCTGTTTCTGAAACCAACTTTATAGAATTGGCCAGAAGATAAAATAAGTGGAATAGCTACTACGAAATAGAGAACAAGGTACCAGATCATTCTAATCTTGAAGGCTACACTGGTTGGCTCTGGTTAATATTTGGATGGGAGACCACCAAGGAATTTTAGGTTCCAGAGGCTAAAAACCAGATGGATGGGGGTTTAGGGAGATTAATCCCAAAAAATTATTCCAGATTTTTAAAAGAAATATGTATACTGCCTTGAGCCTCCCTTCTGCCTTTCCTCTACCCATGGTGAACATAATCATTTGATGTTAATCTAATAATAAATAAGCTTGGAAAAAACAAGACAACATTTAAATTTCAGAGTTGAGATGGATCTGAGACTAGATGTAATTTTAATTTTTGTCTTTGTTTGGCTGTGCATCAATTTTAATGCATCTATTTATAAGAATTAATATGTAAATAAGTAAATTCTTTCCTGTGTGATGCCTTTCATCCTCTTGAGAGCATTTATTTGCCTATTTTTTCTCACTGATTGCCGATCAACCCAATAAAGATATGCACTGCATGTAAAACATAACACAAACACATATAAAACAGATATTGATGTTCGAAAACTGCATCTCCTTGTAAACAAAAATATAGACTGAAGAGATCAATGCTTTTATGAGTCAGTAGTGTATTATAGATATGGTCTTTTAAGTTCTTTCTGCTACTTCACTTGACCTTGCGTGCTAACAAAGTAGAGTACCACTGCCCTTGTTGTGTTAGGAGCTGTTGCAGAACAGACAAATTTTGTCCAGAACTCATATGAGAACTTTCCTTTCCTGTAGCTATATTAATAGATATATTGCTATAAATGTGTTGTTGTTATGTGTTACCAGGTTGAGTTTGGCTTATGACAATTTGTGGATGGGAGACCTCTAACCCAGTTCAGATGTTTCAAACTCCGGGCAACAGCTTCCTTCATTGCATCAACATACCTCTCCTGTGCTCTTCCTATTTTCCTACTGTTTTCAACTTTCCCTAGCATTATTCTCTTTTCAGTAATCAATACATTGCTCTTATGAGGCCACTCCGACTTAATCTTGATCCTATCGTATGATTTTCTTGGCAAGATTTCATCAATGGGGTTTGTCTGTGCCCTCTCTGAGGCTGAGAGAATGTGACTTACCCAATGTCATTCACTGGCCTTCCATGGATTCATCATCCAATACTCAAACTATGACATTATGTTGAATGTTTTGATATCTAGAAACCTATATCAATATTGATATTTACATCTGCACAGACAGATGCATAGATACATGTGTAGTCAATGGCCATGTTATGGATATTATGGCATCAATAACCTAACATTGGTGGCATAGTCTATATCTGAATGTGGTGGATGGACATGCATGTGTTTGTGTATGAATAAAGGGTTGTGACTCAGTGGTAAAACACTTGCTTTGTATTTAGAATGTGCTGGGTTAAATATCCAGTTTCTGGGTGAATTTGAGTAAAGACCCTTCTCTAAAACCCAAGAGAGTAGTTGAAAATATTGAAGGAAATTGACTGACTCAGTTTAAGACAGCTTCTGGCACTGATCTGTACCATTCGTGAACTACCAGACCAACATATCTTTTCAGCATAGTCACCTTTGCCTGAAGGACAATTAGCATCCAGGGTTTTGCTTTGCTTTTTAATTTACTGCATGTCTAGGACAGCAAAAACTGGGGTGGGTGTTTTTGTTAATCATCCACTAGTGTGCATGGTATACTGCACCTCGTTATGTTGCAAATTGTGCATACTTATACAGACCTACCTATTCACTGAAAAAGTTTGATCCAAAAGATGTTACTTCAGATTAAATAAGGAATTTTGTAGGGTTGCAGTATCTGTTCTGGGCACTGTGTGTGTATGTGTGTGCATTAGTTAGAGAAAAATACTGAGCAAAATGGATTGATCTGCAGATATGGCCCATAAAAAGAAATTGTTCCAAAGGTATAAAATAATGAAAACCATCTGGTCATCATAAATCTGGTAAATTAGCTGAATGTTAGTGCTTCTCTCAAGATGTCTGTCTTTGAAATCAGCATGTCAGAAACTATGGGAAATCCATTTATTAAACAGAGTAACTCTTAGTAGAGAGAACTATTAGGTACCACAGATCTGAACCCCCTTGACTCCTTCCCCCAAATTATTTGCTGGTATTGCCCTCTAAACTCCTTAGTTTCTCTTCAAACTAAGTAACACAACCTGCGTAGAGTCATCTTTGAAACTAGTGCCACTGGTTTCAAATACTGCAGTAAAATTGTTGATCCTATTTGGTTACAAATAACATGTGCCCCCTTTGTTATGGCTTTTTCTGGGCATGATCCAGTGTTGGACCTCCACTGGCTGAATAACAGAAACCAGTTGAAAGTGGGAAAATTCCTTTCCAATTGGAAAGGAGACTTACATGTACCCCTGCAAAACCCATTACAGAAGACTGGAAAACCCACTAAGCATGTTTATTTGTCTGGTCTAAGGACTGGGAGAGGGAGGATATGGTAACAGGAAGAATGTTCTGATGTGTTGGTAGCAAGTTATCCACACTGTCCAAATATAGCATTTCAATAACACTTTAACTGATGCGGTTCTGTCCTGTGGAATCCTATAGAGAGGATTGGGAATTGGGAAGTATTTTTAGTGCACTCATAGAAAAGATGGAAGAGGCCCTCTAGTCCAACCTCAGGAAAGAATGCACAGTGAAAGCATTCCTGGCAGATGACCCTCCAGGCTCTCTTTAAAAATCTTCGCAGAGGAAGACTCCCTCATACTCCAAAGGTATATTCCATGGTTGAAGAGCTATGACTGTCAAGACATTCTTCCTAATGCTCTTCCCTGAGTGAATGCATTAGAACTCTCTGGTGAAAAACGACAAATCCCATTATTTCGAAAGATAAAGCCATGTCATATACTGTATAAAGCATTATAACTACCCATATAAAAGAGACTGCACAGTGTGGGCATACCCTAGGGCTGCGCCAGTGTCATATTATTTCCAAGCATAATTCAAAACAGTAGTTATGATTTACAAAGTACTATCTGACTGAAGGAACATGTGCTTCTTCCATTATGTCAAGGAGCCAGCCTATTTGAAACTCTACATTTTTCCTCATGAGGAAAAAATTCCCAGACTTTTCTCTTGGTCCCACCACTGCCTCAGTAGGAACACAAGAGAGAAAATGATGCAAGAGTGGCTGCTCCCAGGCCTCAGAATGCTGTTCCAAGGTTGACTAGATTGACATCCTCCCTGTTGTCCTTCCTCTGGCAATCAAATAATGTTTTATTCAGATAGGTTTTTGCAATTTCCCTGGCAGCTTCCATTCAATCTCAGTGTAGCAAATTCAGATTTCTGGCAGAAGCTTAAGGGAGTTATCCAGGACGTTAAATTCTCTTCT